GTTACACCCCTTCAAAGGCAAGGTCTATCACAGTCCCAGGAGAGCAAAAGTATTAGAGCAACCCCAATATAAACCTCATAACACCCAGTCCTCAACAAAACATTGAAAATCCACAAAGAATGGCTCTTTTGTAAAACAAAATATTTTTTGGAAATAACCCACGCCCTGAAACTTAGAGACTAGAATTATTACTTAAGAATACTGAATCAGCCATCTTAAATATTTACAACGCATTAAAGACAACGAGACAAGAGTGGAAAGAGGCTAGGAAAAATCATGTATGAACCAAATAAGAATGTCATTAAAAAGTTAGAGAAAGGAAAAGGAACCAAAGAGAAAGTCAGACCAGAGAAGTATATGGACTGAGCTAATTTGATCCTTGGATTAAAATTTTCTGATTTCTCATGGGAAACTGCAGATACTCTAGAGACAGTGGGGGGGACCTATTTGGAGGAGGAGGAGGACCAACCAGAACAGTTGTAATTCTGAGTATTTGAGACAAGGTTTCAAACTGTAGCTTACTCAAATAAGATATATAGCATTGCTCCTGCCACAGCCTCCCTGTCACTGGGGCTGCAGATATGTGCTATCGTGTTTGAGATGTAACTTGGCATTGCTGGGACAAAATGCATGAAAGAATCAACTTAGGGGGAAATTTTTCTTTTCCCAATGACTTCCAAGGGGCAATCAGAAGTCCTGTTGCTTTGGGGAAGGTGCTTCATATCAGAAGTGCATGGTGGACAGCTCCTGTTCACTTCACGGAAGTCCAAACCCAGAGCATGGTGGTAGTGGGTCCAGTTTCAAGGTTTTGATAGTCTCTTCAAGGGCATCCTTTGAAAGAACCACATTCTCTCTGCATGACCTCATTTTGTAAAGGTTCCACTACTCCCAAAAGAGGCACAGGCTGACAAAAATGCTTTAGCACATAGACCTTCCAGGATCCTTCAAAACTGCTCTTTTGTAGCCATGTCAATTAAGGCTATACTTGGCCAAAGCATCCTTTAAAAAAATGAAGGATATGAAATAATTTGCAGATAATCCACATAGGAAGACACTGCCAGTAGAACTGCTCTCTGAGAAATACTAATGGAAATTTTCCCAGCAATGGACAGGACACAGGTCATAATGTGGACTTGTAGCACAAAATAATCATAATCTTAGCAATATATGCAGGTGAGAAAGAATTTTGGCATCATTTGCAACCTCTCTCCTTTAAATATGTAATTTACTGTCCAGGTGGTGGTGGTGCTTGCCTTTAATCCCAGCACTTCGGAGGCAGAGGGAGGCAGATTTCTGTCCAGGCCAGCTAGGACTGTTTCACAGAGAAATCCTCTCTCTAAAACACAAATATATATGTATAAAACACATATACATATATACAAATAGATAGATAGATAGATAGATAGATAGATAGATAGATAGATAGATAGATGTATATTTGTTTACTGAAATATATAAATTAACAATTGGAGATACATGTTAATGACCATGAAAATCTAGAAAGACCATAAGAAAGAAATGTCTATAAACATGTGGGTGTATATACACACTCTTAATTCTAGTGCTCTCAGGAGGCCAAGACTGGAGATCTTTGTGAGTTTGAGGTCATCTTGATGTACACAGTCATCTCCTGGACAGCAGGGATTACATGAAGAGACTTGATGAGGGAGTCCCCTCTGTGTGCTGTGATTACCATTAATGAGTAAAGAAACTGCTTTGGACCTATAACAAGGCAGAACTCAGGTAGGCAGGGAAAGGTAGGCTGAATGCTGGGAGAAAGAATGGAGAGTCAGAAAAATGCCATGGAGCCACTGCCAGAGTCAGACTTGCCGAAACTTTGATGGTAAGCAACTGTCACGTGGTGATACACAGATTAATAGAAATGGGTTAAATTTATATGTAAAAGTTATCCAATAAGAAGCTAGAGCTAATGGGCCAAGCAGCAATTTAATCAATGCAGTTTCTGTGTGATTATTTTGGGTCTAAGCTAGCTGGGCTGTCGGGACCAACAAGTAGCCTGTTTCAACAGATACTTTGCCTAACAAACAAAACAAAGTGGTGAGGAGGGAAAGATCAAATCATAAACAACAAATCATAAACAATGAGAAAGCAAACTTAAGAGGTGAGGAAGTGGGAGTTTGAGACCAACAAGAACAATATCCATTGCAGGTTAAGGGTTCTGCTTGCAGTTAAGAATAAGTTCCTGTTTATCCCACAGATTAAGGCTTCTGTTTACATTTAAAGAATATATTCCTGTTTGTCCTGTGTTGTTTAGTCCTTAAAGGCTAAAGTTTCTATTTGTAACTAAAAATAAGTTCCTGTTTCTTAGATCTGGTATAAATTGCAAAGCATGTTTTTCAATCTACACTAAACTTGTGTTGTGACCCCATTCATATGATGTATATCTTTACCCTTGTTAACTTCCCCTTCATTGTCTTTTCTAACAATGTATAACAATTGACTCTCTTGCCTGTGTGTACACCTTATGTCATCCATAAAAGCACCTAAAGAGGTCAAGATGGCTGTTCTCTCAAAACCCTGGCCATTCCCAGGTGTACCCCAAAATACAGTTTGCTTTAATTTGACAATTGTGGATTTGGTTTTTTTTCTCTTTGAGAGTCTCAGGTTTAACAGAAGCACCATTGAATGCATGTGACAAGAAAGCAGAAGAGGTTTTTTCCCAGGGAAGAAAAAAGGGAAACTAATGTTTGAATTGGGAAGATGACATGTAGAGACAATAGGAAAGAGAAGTGTGCAAGAACAATTTCAACATCACAAACAAATGAGATAAACATAGGACAATGTCACAACAAATGTATGAGAAAAATGCAGGACGATGTCATAACACGCCATATTAGTATACTAACTTAAAGATTAACTTGGAAAATTAAAACAAACATTCAACATTTATGACATAATCTGTGTCAGAAAATAAAGGGGAAGACAAAGGTCTAACATTAAATTAAATGTCAGCACAATTATTGCATCCATGATGGTATTACTAAACATGGGTTATACATTTAGGGTGTCAATCATGATCTTGAGTGATTTCCTTTTGAGATCCATAGGCCCCTCTAACCAGTGGATTAGGCAGAATGGGGCAAGGTTAACTCTGGCAATGGATGAGTGGTACTGGATAGATAAGATGATAAACTCTGAAAACCCAGTAGTGATATTTATATCTGAATCTACTTTGTCTGAAATTTCAAGTATTACCTCATAATTCACTTCAAAATATTTAAGATTAAGCATAAAGAAAAATAAAGCAAACTGCAAGTTGCTCCTGGAATGGAAAACTTACTGTTCTGAGGTAACATGACTCAATTCCAGCCACTTCTGTGTCACCATTAATAGGAATTTGGAATTTACTTTGAGCAATCTGAGCTTCTTTATCTGCTTCTTACCTCAGCAACAAAATCAAAATGCACATATATCCACTTGGATGAGTGCACCTATACCTCATAACATGACTATGAAGATTAGAAGCTTTAATATTCATGATTCACTCTTAATCTTTAAAGTACTACTTAGAGCAGCTAAATAACTATATAAAACTGCCACCGGCTCAATTGTAGGCCAATCCCATACAACTTACAAGTGACAAAAATACCTAATATTCATAAAAAGATCATAGTCCTAACATATTTAGGATGAGTAAATTTGGGCCCTACAAAATTTAATCTCAATTTGTATTCATATAATCTTTACATTTCTAAAAAAATTTGGTATTGGTGGAAGAGTGACATTGACATGTCTACCAGGAATTTGATTGTCTAGAGAGATGAGAAGACTTGAGATGATTGCTTTATGATGACAAATCCATCAATACTGGAAATAGAGCTGTATGTAGTTGAGAAGGGAACTGGGCTGGAAATCTCTTAGAAAACACTAGTGTTGGACCTTTAGCGGGGGATAGCTTTTACACACTGCTGTCTTAATGGTCCCAGCTCAAAGTGGGTGCTCATAAATATTTAGAGCTGTATTTTATGTCTTCCTTTACTAAACAGAGTTAGTGATGCCAAAATAAGATGCTGCCTACATCTCATTTTAAGAAATACATGTAGCAACTGCTAGTTGTCAAAACCATTTGTTACATAGAGATATCATCGAAGTCTTGTAAGCTTCAACAACGAAACACATCTTTTCAACAACCCAAAACAAATTCACTGAATTGAAAGAGATATTTATAGCCTAAGTGCTGACCCCAGTGTGTGTCAGGCCATGTGAAGATGGCTGACCAACATTTGGAATTTCAGTGTCCAACAAACTACAGAATTCACAAAGGCTTTATGAAAGGCTGTGGAGGCCAGCTCTTTAAGGAAGGAAACTATTCTGCAGCTCTAGAGAAAAAGCAACTGTGTGAACAGTGGTCAAGGGCTGGCCTGAAACTCACTATACTTCAAAATTTGTATGAGTTCTTCTGCCTCTGACACTTGAATGCTGGATTCAAAGGCATATGCCTTTATGCCTAGCTCTTTTCTCTGTCTAAATAGTGAAACATCTTTGGCTAGAGTGGCTTAGTGGTTAAGAGCACTTTTTCCTGCAGACAAGCTGAGTTGAGTTCCTAGCACCCACATGTTATGCCTTACATCTTCCTGTAACTCCACTTACAGGGGACCATTACCATCTTCTGGCCTTTGTACACACACCTGTAAATACATTTTAAAAATGGGTTATCTTTTAAATTTTCAATTGTACAGGACCTTTATATATCTTACACATAAATTTCTTACAAGATACACAATTTTCAAATAGTTTTTTTTTCCACTTGGTGGCTTAGCTTTGCCCCTTTTCGACGACATCTTTTCAGATAAACTAGTGTATAATGCTGATAGTGTCTAGTATTTCCTTTAGTGTCTGTCTAATATTGCTTCCTTCTAAAAGCAATAATATTTAAAATCCTACATGTATGTGCTATATTTTGAGTTAATTTTGCATGTAAGCATCTGAAAAATGTCCAACTTTGCTATCTTTTTTTAAAAATCAGGACACTGGGTGTATCTATTTTTTAATTAGCATATTGCAAGACAATGTGTTTCACTGTGGTTTCACTGAGTTTTGCATAAAGTCATGCCTTTCCCATCCACTGTGAGTCAAGACAGACAGGGAAACAGAAAGAGGTACAGCAAGGAAATGACAACTCACCTTGGAATCAAGTCTCTCAGTGTCTAAGAGTCAAGAATTTCTGCACAACTGACAAAAACATGCTGTGAATACTACCTGCATACAGACAACAGTCTTTTTAACCCAATAGATCTGCTTCAAATAAGCATATTAAAATGGTAGGAACCACATTAGAAAGAAAGCATAAGTCACCATGTTGTTTAACCTTCTCTTTCATCCCCAAACAGTTTCTGAGAACACCACAATCAAGATTAGATATGTTTATAGCTACAACAAAGGCAGAGAACTTCCTGGTGACTTCTTACTGTGTACTCCTGACACAATGCACCCCAGAAAACAAACACCTTATGACCTATTTACTAGAGAAATTTCTTGAGATAAAACCATTTAAAAATATTAAATCTTTTGAGCAGTATAAATTCCAAAATCTTGTAAGCTGAAGAGATGGCTCAGAGGTTGAGTGCTGGCTACTCTTGCCGAAGACCTAGGTTTAGTTCCCAGCATCCACAAGGCAGATTGCAACCATCTATAACTCCAGTTTCAAAGGATCTGATGACCTCTCTTGGCCTCCAAGAACTTTATGCATACGGTGCAGAAACATACATGCAGCAAAACAGGCATACACTTAAAATATAAACACATAATTCAACCTTCTTGAATAATTATGTAAGTGTTGGTAGAGACACTTGATGTACCTCTTTTGTCGGGTCATGCTTTGCCGTAGGAAGTGTATCACTGCTATACCCCAATACCCATGCTTAAATTCAATTCATAATTATTAAAAATTAATTCCAACTTTGTTTGTTATTGTCTCATCCTGATTTGTTCTTTTTCCGTAGTGGAAATCAAGACCATCAGCTTCACCAGTGTTGGAGTTCACTCAGGCTGCTACAAACAGTTGTGTGGAGCAATTTCTCCTGCTGCCACTGTACTCATGTTTGCAGTCTTTCATTTCTCTCTAGGTTCTACAGATGGACATCTGAGACTTGTCTTTCTTAATGCAGCCCTAGTTTCATCCATCTTCCTGCGGTAGTTATTAAATTGAAGTAGATTATATATGTTTTGCAAAGACTCAGTTAATACTAGGTTCCTGATTTTCTCATCTTGGTTAATTTAGTTTTTGAAGAAATTTCCAGTAGCCAAATGATTCTGCTTCTTCTGTTGTAGGCTTCAGGCCAGAAGAGTAGCATATATTTATTTGAGAAACAAAAGTGCTGATAGCACTAGGCACTTGCATCAGGCAAAGTCCTCTAGAGAAAAGAAAGCAAAAGAATATATATTATAAAGAAAACCATGATGGCTAACTTAAACTCTCAGCTTAACAAATTTAGAATTCCCTATGAAGAGAGTCCCAGTAATGAATTTATTGTGTTGGTTGACTCAGTATCAGTGGGGAAATCCAATATGAGTGGGCCTGCTGCATGTTGGAGAGGCAGAGAATTAGGTTATGCCCAATCCAGGGAACTTGCCAGCCTCAGAATGGTACCAAGGGACTGGAAAACTACCTAGAGTCAGATGAAAGAAACTGGAGATAATCTTGATCACCATCACCTTCACCACTACCCCATCATTATCATTTGTATTAAGGAGGCCACTTATTCATTTACCAGCTGCCCGGACTCATGAAATAACCACACAGAAACTGTATTAATTAAATCACTGCTTGGCCTATTAGCTCTAGCTACTTATTGGGTAGCTCTTACATATTTATTTAAACCATTTCTATTACTCTATGTATAGCCACATGTCTGTGGCTTACCAGGTAAAGTTCCCGTAGGGCTACATGACTTCTCTCTGACTCTGCCCTTTCTCCCAGCATTAACGTTAGTTTTCCCTGCCTAGTTCTGTTCTACCCTATCAGCCCAAACCAGTTTCTTTATTAACCAATTTTATTCACAGCATATAGAGAGGAATCCCACATCAATCATCAAGACCAACATCAACGGCTGCAGCAGTAGCAGCAGTAGATAAAGAAGAAACTTGTAGGTGTGGCTAATTCCTTCTGCGTTTGTTTTTCCATGCAGTCACCTGGATGGAATTATGTACACACTGAAGACGTATTCTTTACCCGAGTTACTGTGCCAAAAAATTCTACTGTGGAAACACTTCTACAAACACAGGTATGTTTCTTCAGTCCTAGATAACTCTTAATCGAGTCAAGTTAATAATAATAGGCAACACCAACCATCACAATACTCTATGCATGGATGAGACAGCAAGGGATGAGTAACCTGGCTTATTGGTGGATAGAAGATTTGAATAGATTTTTATACAAAAGACATAGAAATGGCTGACATGTATATGAGAATGTGTTCAACATCATTAATCACACTCTGCTAATTTTCAAGATCTGCAAAATAAAAGCCAACACAAGCAAGCAGTAACTTGTAGTTTAGCAGAGGCAATAGGCTTTATCTTGAGTAGTATTGTAATGAGAGATTGGCTCATAAATCACTACACAGCAATTTCGTTCCGTTGAGCGATGTAATTTTTTTGAAATAAATTTGTGTAATAGACCATGTGCACTGTGAAAGAATATTTTCAAAATGATTATCTCATGTGAACTATAGCCAAGATGATCTAATTTTCCCACAATTTCTGAGAACCTATTTCAGAGATTGATGTGGTATGGAGCCAGCATTTCCTCTCTCTCTTTTTCTCTCTCACATTCTTTCTCTTCTCTCTCTCTTTTTTTTTAAAAAGCGCTAAGTATTGAATCTGGGGCCTTGTACATATTGGGTGGGTATACTTCCAGAAACCTATATTCCCAGACTTTGTTTTACCTTCTATGTTCAGAAAAGGCTTCACTAAGTTGCACAGGCTAGCCTTGTGCTCACTCTGTAATTTAGGCAGGCCTTGAACTTTGATTCTCCTGGTGGGGATAGGCCTGGCTTGGAGTAAATACTTATCATTCTGAGTTTTACCACCCCCTCATTCATTCTGTTGATAAGTTACCATTCTACACATCAGAAGAATCCAAATCAAGGCATAGTAATACCCCTGCTTCTGTGTTGTGCTTGATTTTGCCTGTACTTGGCTTGCATAGTACCTAATAGTTCCAGGTACCTGAGTGCAATCCCCATATTCAGTTCCCACATAGAAACATACACATGGTTTTCTAGGTGTCACTCTGCGCAGACTTCCAATCATCGTCATATGTGACCTTATATGAACTTTGTTTATATTTTAAGAAGTATGACCTAACAGTGTAGGTGAATATAACAGATACAGTTAGGATATTTTACCTGGAATCTTTCTAGTGTTGTTGTTCAATTAGCTTCTTCTTAGTATTCCTTGTTTCTTACAAGAAAAGGAGATTTTTTCTGAAAAAAAAAAAAAAAACACCAGGTGGCCTTTGCATCAGACACCACACCACTGAAACAAAATATATAAACAATTAAACTTCCCGAGAAATCCCATACTATAGGGAAGCAGAAGTCTGAGACATTGGGAACTTCAAGAGGAGGAACTTGTTCTTAGGAGGGGATTTCACACAGTTCTGGCAAGTTATTCAACCACATTGCAAGAGAGGCTGGATACAATGATAGATCAGTGATAGAACACACCTTGACAAGACTGCTTAGGTTATGCATACATCTTTCTCTATTTTTAAACAGTAAAAGAAGTGAGTTGTAAATAGTGGCTATGACCATATGCCATATAAACAGGCATGGCATTGTGAGTATTGTCTGTGATCAAATGTAAAGTACACTGAGTGAATATCTTTCTTTTGTTTTCTCCTCATTTTATCATGAAATATAAGATGTATTGATTTTACTTTAGTATTGAAATACTATTAATTTTATGTCATGGTATACAGGTTATGGGATGCAAAGAGAACGGTCAACATCCCTCTAAAAATTTGCTTCATTTTCCAGTGAAGATGCAGCACAGTTGTTGTTTGATTTTTAACTTTAAAGACTAAATACCCCTTAATAAGAGTCACAAGGTACTAGACAAAGTGGACTTGTGATAACTAATTTTATGTTCCATGTCCATGAAGCTCTGGTCCAAGCTGGTCAAAGGACACTTTGTGCTGGTGGATGACTTTGAGGCCAGTCATGTGATTCTTATTTTTCAGAGTTATAGAACACAAGCATTCTTGAGGGGAATCAACCATGATGTGAAAGGACAGCATGAAAGGCAAATATGTGTCAGAGATGGAATCTCTGTGAATCACAAATGCAAAATGGTGTTTAAATTTCAGTGATGTAATTGAGTTGGAAAACTTCAATTCTCTTAAAGGGCTGTGGTTTTTTTCAGGGTTAAATTCACATGTTAGACCATAGTCTGGAAAATTCATTCATTCTCATTTAAGTGGGTACTGACACCCTTCAGAATATACACTTCCAGGTGAGGACAGCTCATCTGTCTTTGTCTGATGGCTCTGTGATACTGAGGCTTCAAAGAGCGAAACATGTTAGAGCCTGGAGATGAATTCTCACCTCTTTTAACAGACATTGACTGTAGTTCCCTCTACTCTAACAGACAATTCCCCTTTTGTTTTAGATCAGTGTTTGAATAACAACAAAACTTTGAGGAAGGCATGTTTCCATATACTCATAGCCAGTTTTTCTATCATTAACATACCACACTAACAGGATATTTTAGTCCAACTAATGAGCTCATATAATGTCATTAGTAATGGAGTCTACACTTTCAAGCCTCCTTCACTTTCCTGTCTCCCTCATCAACCCAACACCAGATCCTGTTTGGGATACAAAATGGCTTTTACTCATCTTCCTCCAAAGGCTCCCGTTAACTCTCATCTTTTGTCTTTTGTTTATTTTAAGGTTCTAAATTCATTGCAGAGAAGCAGTTTTTGAGAGTGCTTTGGAATGAATTATTGGTATTTGAATAGAATTCAAAATGCAAACACAAACAAAAGCCCTCAGCTCCATTCTCTCCACGCTGCCCTTACAGTTGACAGTTGAGGCTCTCACCTGTACAGAAGTGGAGAAGGGCTCTTACTGTTTAGTAATCTATTGGTAGGGCCCAACTGCACCTTCTCTCCTTGTCATCACATATTCACCCATTCCTTGGCGGAAGTCTCCTCTGCCCCCAGAGGCCAGGACAACATCCCGAACCCCAGGCAATACTGTACCCTACCCTGCGTGTGCTCACTTAGAATAACCAACTATGCCTCTTCTGCTCATCACCATATTTTAGTCCACACCTCTGGCAGAAGACGTCTACCCCATCAGAGTTCACAGCAGCATCCTGAAAACCAGGTATGTACCTGTCTACCCAACCTCTGTGTGCCCTGCCCAGCAGAACAACAATTGCCGCCTCTTCTCTTTGCCACCTGATTTCAGCCCACACCTCTGGAGGAAATCTCCAACCCCCCAGAACCAAGTCAACTCTTTGAAAACCAGGCAAAAACCTCCTATTTCACCAGAAGCCAGAACAACTTCTGAATCCTGACCAGATCAGAGACCATGCACATACATAGCCAGAACTTCAGCACGGACAGCATCCCACTGCTGGACCAGAGGTCATTGGAGCCATGAGAAGTCCAATTCTCAACACAGGCAGAGACCTTCTTTCTGTGGAAACCCCCAAAAAATGTGAACCTATTTTTGTCTGAAGGTCAAACAGTTTGAGTTTATTTTTGGTCTTTCAAAGTTGTTGACAACATGTGTAACTACAAGACAGGATATCCTGACCTAGAATGTGGTTACTTTGTGTTTTGGACATGAAGATGGTTCATAGAGTTAGATTAACTCCACCCTGACCAGAGGTCAGATAATTCAAACATAATTCTGCTCCTTTTTTTTTTTTTTTTTTTTTTTTTTGAAATAGGAGGTTTGACCTAGGGAGTGCCTGCTTTCAGGATCCTTGGTCTATGGTATATTCACAGCCCCAGACAGCAAATGCTTTTCTAGGGAATTAATGGTTTGATGTCTCAGGTATTGAAACAACTAACTGTTCTTGTTGTCCCTTCTATCATGTTAAAGCAGTCTTTTGCCTTCTTCCTCCCTTTTATATTGGGGTATAAAAGTCTTTGGAAAATTAAACACAGAACTCAGCACTTAGTATGCATGAGGCACTGAGTTGCCCTCCTGGAACAATCCTGTGTCTCTGTGTTTCTTTTTTATCTCTGTTCCTCCTACCTAACATTTCTAATCCTCACATCCCTATCCTGGAATATTTGAACCCGCCATGGCTAGGATTGCAGCAGAAGTCACCCCCAAAAAGTGTCTTAAGTGGCTTCCAACAACTCTCTGCTTAATCGTGGGATCCAGAAGACTGGATAGAAAGCATAAATAAAGGAAGAAAACACCATTCTGTAAAGACCAATCCATAAATTGACACCTAGACCTATAATCTCTTCAAATCCAACTGACTAAGTGTAAGTGTAAGAACACAAGCAACAATAATCAGTGCAATATGTCACCACTAGAGCTCAACCCTCCCACTACCCTAAGCCCTGAAGATTCCAACACAGCCAAAGCACAAGAATATGATCTTAAAACCAACTATATGAGGCTTGATTGAGTTCCTTAAAGAGGAGATAAAAAAAATTCCCTTAAAGAATCAAGGAAAAGAAAACCAAAACAATTGGAGGAAATCAACAAATACATTAAAGAATTGCAAGAAACCCAAGAAAAACCAAACAAGCAGGTAAAGAAAATGATTCATGAATGAAAAACACAAACTGAGGGAATTCAGGAAATGGAAAAATCTGTGTATGTGAGCAAGAGCTATAGATACCAGAATCACCAATCAAAGAGAGAAAGTGAGAGAGAGACAGAGAGAGAGAGAGAAGAGATAATTTCAGGCATTGAGATATAATAGAAGAAATAGATTTATTGGTCAAAGAAAATATTAGAGCTGACTAATTTCTAACAGAAAACATCCAGGAAATCTGGGACACCATGAGAAAACCAAACCTAAGAATAATAGTAGTAGAAGGAGAAGAATTCCGGCTCAAAAACCCAGAAAATATGTTTAACAAAATCACAGAAGAAAATTTACCTGACCTAAAGGACATGCCAAAATGGTATAAGAAAGCATACAGAACACCCAACAGTTTGGAACAGAGAAAAACTTTCCCCGAGTCACATAATAATCAAAACACTGAATACACAGAACAAAGAAATAATATTAAAGGCTTCAAAGGAAAAAGGCCAAGTAGCATATAAAGGCAGACCTATAAGAATCACAGCTGACTTCTCAATGGAGACTCTAAAAGCCAAAACGACATGAACAAATATCTTGCAGACTCTAAGAAACCACGAATGCCAGCCCAGACTAGTATACCCCCCAAAAAAATTCATTTCTGTAGATGCAGAAAACAAGATATTTCACAACAATGAATTTAAATTTAAACAATATCTGTAGACATATCCAGCCCTACAATAGGTACTAGAAGGAAAACTACAACCCAAGGAAGTTTACAATCATGTAAACATAGGGCAATGGTTAATATCACACCAACAAAATCCAATGAAGGCGATGTGGGAGTGATTTCATTCTAATCTGTTGCTTTCATTGGTTAATTAATAAATAAACTGCCTTGGCCCATTTGATAGGCCAACCCTTAGGTGGGTGGAGTAAACAGAACAGAATGCTGGGAGAAAGAAGCTGAGTCAGGCAGTTGCCATGATTCTCCCACTCCAGACAGAGGCAGGTTAAGATCTTTCCTGGTAAGCCAGCTCATGGTGCTACACAGATTATTAGAAATGGGTTAGATCAATATGTAAGACCCAGCCAATAAGAGGCTGGGACTAATGGACCAAACAGTGTTTAAAAGAATACAGTTTCTGTGTAATTATTTTGGATCAAGATTAACTCAAAAGAATCAGTAGCCCCCCATATTCATACACAAGTGATAAACAGGCTGAAAAAGAAATCAGCGAAATAACAACCTTTACAACAGCTACAAATAACATAAAATATTTTGGTGTAACTCTAACCACACAAGTGAAAGACTTGTAAGACAAGAACTTAAAATCTTTGAAGATAGAAATTGCAAAAGATATCAGGAGGTAGAAAGATTTCCCATGCTCATGGATAAGCAGGATTAACAGTAAAAATGATCATCTTACCAAAAACAATCTACAGATTCAATGTAATCATCATCAAAATCCCAATACAACTTTTCACAGACCTTGAAAGAACAAAATTAAACTTAATATGGAAAAACAAACAAACAAAATCCCAAAATAGCTAAAGCAATTCTATACAATAAAAGAACTCCCCAAAGTATCACCATCCCAGATATCAATCAGCTCTACTACAGAGCTACAGTAATAAAAATTGCTTCATATTGGCATAAAGACAAACAGGGGAATCAAGGAAATTGAATCAATGGCCCAGATGTAAATCCACATACCTACAGACACCTGATTTTTAACAAAGAAGCAAAGCTTATACAATGGAAGAAAATATCCTCAACAAAAGGTGCTGGTATGTAGAAAAATGCAAAAAGACCCATATCTATCACCTTGCACAAAACTCAAGTCCAAGTAGTTTGAAGTGCTCAATATAAATCCAGATATACTGAACCTGAGAGAAAAGAAAGTAGGGAATAGTCTTGAATATATTGGAATGGAAGAATGCCATTAAAATGCCAATAGCACAGACACTAGATTGCTAATTAATAAATGAGACTGCATGTAACTGAAAAGCTTCTGTAAGGCAAAAGTTACTGTCAATAGGACAAAACACCAGAAAACAGAGTGGGAAAAGATCTTCACCCACCCTACATCTGACAGATGACTTATTTTCAAAATATATAAATAACTCAAGAAATAGGACATTAAAAATAAACAAACAAAATAATTCAATAAAAAATGGGGGTACAGACCTAAACAGAATTGTCAACAGAAGGATCTCAAATGGCAGAGAAACACTTAAGCAATATACAACTTCCTTAGGCATCAGGGAAATACAAATCAAAACAACTCTGAAATTCCACCTCACACCTGTCAGAAATGCTAAAATCAAAAACTATGTTGACAGCTGATGCAGGAGAGCATGTGGAACAAAGGGAACATCTCTTCATTGCTGGTAGGAGTACAAACTTATATAGCCACTTTGGAAATCAATATGGCCATTTCTCAGAAAACTGGGAATAAGTCTACCTCAAGACCCGGTTTTACCTTTGGGCATAAACCCAAAGGATGCTCAATAATGCCAAAAGGACTCTTGCTCAATTATGTTCATAGCAGTTTTATTAGTAACACCCATAACCTGAAAATAGCTTGAAATTCTTCAACTGAAAAATGGATAAAGAAAATATATATTTACTCAGCTGTTAAAAACAATGATATTATGAAATTCAAAGGTTCTGTGGAACAGTCCTGTACACTGTAGATATGTATTGTTCTCATTGTTAGTGGAAAAACTGTTTGGCGGATAGATAGGCAGGATTTTGTGGCCAGAGAGAATTCTGGGAGGAAGAAGGGCAGAGTGAGAGGAGTCACCAGTGAGATATGACAGGAAACAGGAGGCACAAGATAAAAGAGAGGTAACAACATATTGTAGGATGTAGATGAATAGAAATTATAAGAGCTGGTTAATGATAAGCCTAAGCTATTCGTTGAATATTCATATTTAATATTAAGTCTTTGTATTTATTGGGGAACTTGTGGTTATGACAAAAAAAACTCTGCCTTTACAAAGGCAAATGGATGGAAGTAGAAAAAAAAAAACATACTGAGTGAGGTAACCCAGACCCAAAAAGACAAACATTGGTATGAACTCACTTTAAGGGAAATATTAGCTGTAAAGTGAAACCATGGTATAATCCACAGAGCCTGAGAGAATAAGGAAGGCTCAATGAGACACTAAATCCTCTAGGAAGGGAAAAAAGAAGAGATTTTGTTGGTAGACTGGGGTTGCTTGGGGATGGGAGCTTGAGGGGTCAGGTGGGGTGGGAGAGAGTACTGACAGAGCTGACAGGAAAGAGGGGCATTTCAGGGTCAGATAGAAACCTGCAAAGGAAACTCCCAAGAATCTACAAGGAGGGCCCTAGCTAAGGCTTCTAGAAATAGGGAAAACTTAGCCTGAGATGGCCATCTTCTGGGACCAGGCAAGACTTCCAGTGGAGGGAGTGGGACACTAACCCAGACACATAACTTGCAAACTATAATCTGTCCTGACTATGGGATACTCTGGGGTAAGGGTGACACTGAGATTGTGGGAGTGGCCAAGCAGTGACTGTCCAGCCTGAGACCTATACCACAAGGGAAAGGCCAACCTTGCACTTCCTGGGTCACCAGGACACAGAGGCTGGATGGTCCAGAGGATAGAACCAAACAGTACTTGAGGGAAAAATGTCAATATAATGATGCATGGGACTGACCTAGGCCCTTTGCATATATGTGACAGTTGTGTGGGACTCCTAACTGTGAGCAGGGACTGTCTCTGACTCTTTTGCTGGCTTTTGGGACTCTATTCCTCATACTGGGTTGCTTTGTTCAGCCTTAACACAAAGTAAGGTGATGTGGGATTCCCCTCTGTATGCTGTGATTACCATTAATGAATTAAGAAAACTGGTTTGGCCTGATAGGGTAGAATAGACAGGAAACTGAATGCTGGGAAAAAGAAGGGCTGAGTCAGAGAAATGCCATGTAGCCCACTGCAGGCGGATGCCAGAACTCCAGCAGGTAAGCCACAGTCACGTAGCGGTACACAGATTAATAGAAATGGGTTAAATTAATATGTAAGAGTTAGCCAATAAGAAGTTAGAGCTAACAGGCCAAGCAGTGTTTTAATTAATACAGTTTTCTGTGTGTTTATTTCAGGGCTGAGCAGTCAGGAACCAAAAGCAGCCTTCCTCCAACAAATTGGTGTTCAATGGGAACCAACAAGAGGCCTTCCTCCAACAGTAAGGTGCTTAGTTTTAAATTGACTTAGCATGTTTTGTCAATATCCATGGGAGGCCTACCTCTTTTTGAATAGAAAAGGAGTGAGGGGATGAAAGAGGGGAGGCAGAGGGAAAGTAGGGGCAGAGACTGCATGAAGAGATTGGAGGGGAAACTGTAGTCAGGATGTAAAATAAATAAATTTAAAAGATCTATTTACAGGGCTCTCTCATGGTGGATGAGAAGTCATGCATGTTCTATCTCTTTCCTCTTTAAGATTTGAACCACCTTTCAGCTTTGAATTGATGGTCTCTGTTTATTTACTCAACTGGGATCCTCGGCAGAAAGCTACAATCCTCAGCAAGCAACATATAAAGAGTGATCCTAGGTATACTGACATAGTTGACTGAAATGGCTGGAGGCTTCAGTGAGACAGCGCTCAGTCACTCCACTGGAGTTTCGCTGGACAGTATTGTGTTTCAAGATTACTGTTAGGCACTGGACAACAGCATCAGGAGCACAGCATAACTTCTATTTCCATAGGCTTCGCTTTCATAGTTTGTCATCTTGAAAACAATAAAAGAAGGAAATAACACAGATTTTTTTTTAATGCTTTTATATGGAGCTCTATTCCCCAGCCCCCTCTGCTTTCCTGTGTGAGCTGAGAGACAGAAAACAACATGCCTGCCTGCTGACCTTGGCAGCTGCTGCAGACTTCCGAGAACTGTTTATGGAACCTAAGCCAAGGCTATAAACATTCCCAGGAACTGACGCACGAACTTGTAATTTTCCATTTGTTTTTGCCTGAGGTCCCTTAGCTGAAGTCCATGAATCCCAGGCCTTGTCTTTTTTGCCACAGTGTGCCTAAACAAAGATAACTTTTGTCTTGCTCTCCCCAGGATAGCCTGCAACACTGTAGTCTTGCTTGAAAATCAATCATCTTGGACTTTTGGGCCTTTTCTTTTCATGTCACTAACCTCATCTCAGGATGCCTGAGAAATGACTTGTGGAAACCCCCTGGCTGTGGCTGCTGAAAAGGATCCAAGTATCAAATTACATGGAATGAAAAAGCATGTTAAGGATCGGTTTCGTTTTCCTGAATATGGGTGTAGTTCCTAGAACCATGTAAATGCTAAGCACTCCACCATAAAGCCGTGTCCTCAGCCCTCTTTAAAGTTGGCATTTTGAGGAGTGTGCTCACTGAGTTGTTCAGACACGCCTCAAATTCACTCCGTAGCTCAGACAAGCCATACTTAGTGTTTCTGACAATGCATTTGGAAGCAGATACATCTACTATTCTTGATGACTCTGTGACACAAGGTTATCAAAATTTACTCTTCTCTATTTAATAGAGCCATGGAATTAAAAGCCTGGGTTTTCTGGCACAAAGGAAGAGGTAGAAGATGAGTAGGAAAGATCAAGTCTATGGAAGGAGTCATAAGCAGACCAGGAGGGAATGGAGAGAATTCTGCTTTAGAGTAAAACAGGATAAAGGTACCTGGTATCAGCCTTCTGGTGTTATAATAAAACACCTGGTGGTCACCTTATAAAGTGAAAAGGCTCATTTTGGTAGAGGTTGCATAGGTTTCAGACTATGGCTAGTTGGTCTCATTGCTTCTGGGCCTGTGTTAAGGCAACACACCAGGATGGGAGACTGTAGGGTAGATCACAACTACCCATCCTCCCCAAGTCAAGAACTGAAAGGACACTGACACCAGTGACTTAACTTCCTCCCACTAAGTCCCAGATATTAAAGCTTCAGCCACTTTCCTATCAGCAGAGGCACAGACTGCCTAGTACATTGGTCTCCGGGAGACATTTAATATTCAAACCTTATCAGAAGTTATTTAAACCTATTTGATTCCCTCAAAAACAACAACAAAAGACAAAAACAGACAACACTGAAGCTAGTTTTCTGCAGAGTTTATTATTTTAATACAGTTGCAGGTACTCAAAGATAAGCCTCAACTTCTTTATTTGTTGGCTGGCATTCACTCCTTTGACCTATTTGAAATTCTTTTCAGGTCAGTGAGTCATCACACTCAGACACACACACACACACACACACACACACACACACACACACACACACACATGAACTTTATGTAGAGAGCTACAGTCAGGTAACTTCTCCCTAGAATGAGGAAGGAGCTCTTGTTTGGGAAAGCACCGGGTTCTGGGTTCTGGTGGATAAGAACCTGAAGTCACAGTGGGGAAGTGGCTCTGACCACAGGCAGATGAGGACAGCCTACAGGGCAGTGTAGGCCCTTATGGACAGAGTTGAATAACTGCTAACAAGAAGATGTCTGCTAGCAGGAAGTTTCTCTATGCTTTATTACACAAGTGTGGGCAAGAGCCAACAGGAATGAGGAATCAGGAAATGTCTGACTTATCAGAAATCATGAACAAAGTTGGTATTGGCAGCAGTGCTGGAACATTAAGCTCTAGTGGTTTTTTTTTTTTTTTTTTTTTTGCCTCAGCATTTGTGAGTTTAACTTTTCCTCAAACTTTCTCATAAATCCTAAGTTCTCACAACTATCTGTCCTTGTTACTCAGGATATTTCTCCTGCTTCAAATATGCTAAGGATGCTTTTAAAATCCCAGTTACATCTACCTTTTTCCTCAAGCCTTAAGTCACTGATTCACTTGTTCTTCATTCTCTCTCTTTCTCCCTCTCTGTCTTTTCTTTTAATTGATTTATTTTGTAACCCGGCCAAAGTTAATTCCTCCTTTTCCGTTCCCCCCTCCCCTCTGTCTCCCCCAATCCACTACTCTGTTTATTCTCAGAAGGGGGCAGGCATCCCATGGGTATCAATAAAGCAAAAATCAAATTGTGGTAAGACTAAGCAGCTCCCCTTGTTTTAAGGCTGAGCAAGCTGACCCAAAACAAAAAACAAAAATCCACAGCTTCTTCAGTTTTAAAGAATTACAAAAGTGGCTGAGCAGTGCTTTCCCATTTCATCCCAGTGGCAAATTTGGGTTTTCTTCAAATCCATTTTTTTTTTTTTTTTTTTTTTTTTGCCTTTCTGTGTGTTCATCTGTGGTGTAGCTTGACGGGGTTGATAAAACTGTGAATGTGGGTGTGTGGAGCCCATGACAATGTCAGAAGCACACGTGGTATACACAGAATATTCTGAGAAACCACCGAGAGATTAACATCTGTATTTCAGTTCTGTTTTCCAATAAAAGCAGAAGTTTCTGTGACACTATCAGAAAAAGGAACAAACTGTGCATTTGGAGGAAGTGCTGCAGAATTCTGTTAGTTTTCACGGAGTGGGGGAGGAGTGATCTGATTCCAGGGTCTGAATAGTCTTTTATGTGTAACTGATCCCACTCCCTTCCCCCAGGTCTATGGACAATGGTGGTGTGGCCTGTGAGTCAGCACTGACCCTGTCCTCCTTCCTTCCCCCAGGCCTATTTGCACTGGTGGAGTCAGTCAGGACAGTCCCTATTTTCCTTCCTTCCCCCAGGTGTCTATGCATTGGTGGTGTGGCCTGTGAGTGAGGACTTGAAGGAGGGGGAAAGGACATGTTTCTCAGCTCATTTCTGTACGTGCCATGCCAGTTACCTAGAGCTAAGCTGGGATGTCCTTTTTTTGTTCCACCACCAGGTATCTGAGTAGAGAAAGAATGTGTTGAGACAAAGAAAGTGACTTCACCAAAAACAAACAAACAAACCAAATTTCTCAATATGAAAAAAAGACAGGACTCCTTCCACATAACAATTTGGTATGGAGGGCCTCTGAGGGCATCAGTAGGTAAAAGGGGGTTGCACAACAAGGTCAGCAGCCATATTTGACCTCTCCTTTTTTATTTATGGTCAGAAATGTTGTTTCACAATGGACTCAGACTTCTGGCAGATTCAGAAGTGGGTTACAAAGCTCATTAGATTTTCTGGGACCTATAACTGTAGAGAAATATTTGGTAGTCAACATGGTAGCCACCCAGGCAGGGCCTCTCTTAAGAGTTTAGCATCCAGGCAAAGGTCAGTACATTTCAAGGATTGGGAAGGGACTGTTTCCAGAACTTTTCTAAGGACAACTCTCCAAACTGATGACATTGATGAACTGACAGCCTTTCTACATCCTTTCTGGGGAACAGCCAAGCTTCATTGTCACTCAAAAGGTATCAGAGACAGGAAATTTAATCAATGTGCCAAGAAGGAGAACAAAGGGACCCATTGGCCCAAGCTCATCTTTGGGGTTCCAACAGGACTTTAGACTTAAGTAGAGGCAGACTTAGAAAACTGGATGGTTCTCTCAAGCAATGGGACTTCTTCAACCCACCTGGAGAAGGCAGAACTGAGCAAGCACAGCACGGTGGAACTGAGAGTGCCTGGTTAGGAAGCCCTCTGGTCCCTGTGCCAGTTCTTCATCTTTGTAAACCCAAGCTGATGTCAGTCTTGAAAAAACAGCCTTAATTTCTGTGTTCCCCAAGTAGGCATTCTGATTATACCCCTTATATTTCCATCATTACTCTTTGTTAGAACATCAGAATCCAGTTACAGTATAAGGCCCAGGCCTCCTGCTATGACCCATTAATTCCAATGATAGAATCCCAGACTACACTACATGTGCTTACCCACACCCAAGGACAGTAGGGACTTCCATGAGTGCTGATTAAACAAATATGGAAACCCATAAATTAAGCACAGTAAGAGAGACCACTTAGCAAATGGGTGTTACCACACCCATCTCTTAAAAGAAACTGGTTGTTTTCAGTTGGTGGCAATTTACCACAGTCTAGAATCACTTGCGAAGGGAGTTTCCTTGAAGGATGATCTAGATCAGATTAGCATGTGAGTACAACTGAGGGAGGGAGATGAAAAATCCCCTCCCACTCTAGGGGATATTATTCTCTGGGCAGAGAATTTTGGACTGTAAGAGCGTAGAGAAACTGAGCTGTGCATTAGGGTGTGATCATCACTTCATTACTCTTTTTCTTCACTGTGGATGTAATATGAACAGCTACTTCAAATGCCTGCTGCCTTGATTGCCTTCAATGATGGACTGTGCAGTGATTTGAAAAAGAAATGTCCCCTATAGTAACAGCTCCTAAAGATTCCTTAACCTCTCCCCAAATATCCGACCACCTAGGGACCAAGTGTTTGTATGCTGTTGCCTTGATGTAGAAAGCACATAACTGGTGGAGAGCTTTAACAGTTTTTAGCTAATGAATGGAGGAGACAAGACAAATCAGGCAAGGACAGACACTAACACATATTTCCCCAGCATAACAGTCTGGCTATGAAAATCCATAAGACTATTAAATCATTGCATCTGTGAAAATGAAACTATATGTGCCTGCCTCAATTTTGGCTTAAAAATTTTGCCAATATAAGAAAGGGGGCATGATGCACAGGAAAAACTACTTCTTATACCAAGAATTATCTGGTCTATAAACAATTACAGATCCAAGCAAAACCACTGAAATGCAGGTAGATAAGATGATTCAAAGGGCTCTGCTCCCAGGGCCCAATGCCCTGAGTTTGATTCCTAGTGGTCACGTGTGATGGAAGGAGAGAACAAATGTACACCCACACACAACGAAATTACAAGCATGCGTATGTTGACAACTGGAGGGACTACTCACCCTGAGAATGGAGCATCAGATGCACAATACAGGGAGCACGAGAGTGGCCTTACTCGTCTTTGCAGTGGCTAGCCTGAAAGCCACTCCCCCACACTACCTTTGTAGATATTATCAACACGCAGCTTAAAACTCAGATGGGAGTCTCAAGCCTCTCTTCCTCCTTCTTTCTTCTCCTCCTCTTCTTTGCCCCTTATCTTCTTATTCTCATCCAGAGCAAAGAATTTCAAGAGGAATGAGGAGCTGGAGAGATGCCTCAGAGCTTGCTTCCTTTTCTTCTAGAGGACAGTTTTGTTTGCCGGCATCTTCTTCAGTCAGCTTAAAACCTTCTGTTAGCCTAGTTACCCAAGGTTTCAGTGCCCTCTGCTGAGCATTGGTGCACCCACAGGCAGTACACCGGAGGCTCTTCCTTTCCCCTCCTCTCCCCTCTTCTGTGTCCTGCCCTGTTCTATCTCTCTCTCTCACTCTTTCTCTCTCTCTTTCTCTTGGTCTCATTCCCTCATCCTCTCTCCCCCTCTCTCTCCCTCTCCCAACAAATAGAACTAAAAATGAACCTGAAAAGAGTCCCAAGGGTCATCTTCACCTGCCAAAATTAACAATGCTCAGAGTCCTATTCAAAATTATCACCACTGCAGAAAGTTGAAGAAACTCTGATGCTCACCCTTTCCTGAGCAAATTATTTTCCCTCATGTGAAATAACCAAGTCTCATCCACCTTCATCCAACAGCATTACTAACAACCAAAACAAGATGCAAAATAACTAAGGATGGCACAGGTTGAAATCTGTGGGCATCTCTGCTCCTCGGATAACACTGCATCCCCTCTCACCAGTCCTTACTGTACTGAGTCTGGAGATAGAAACTTTAGGTCTTCACTCATCCTGTGGGATTGGCGTGCTCTCAGCTTTCTGTAGGGAAAAGGCTACACATTTTTAATAAAGCACACAGTGCCTTTCATGAGTCATAATCTGAGAAGTGTATTTTTATGTCTCCAATTAAAACAGGAAGAGAAGAAATAACCTGCCAAAGATCTAACACTTCCTACAGCTCAGGAAATTGCTCAGTTTACCTCAAATACAAATTCTAATTAACATACCCAACCATCATTCTCAAGTTGTTTCTTAAGTTTGATCATATGCTATCTATATCAATCCACCTGAAAGGACACTGCCAAAGTGGATAAAGCTACTGCTGCTGCAGAAGGAAGAGTTCATTCAAACAGAATGACTAAGACAAGACACAAGTCCTAGATTCCGGACAACACCTGCTAACATTGCATCCCTGCTTCTCTGATAAGCTTGGTAGCATTAGAAAAATAAATGCATATGAATTTATTTATGTTTATTTAAAACATGAAAGATTTTGTACTGGGTTGTTTAAATGGTCAAAGAATGATCAACATTTCATTTTTAATTTATTTTCATAAAACTTGAATACCTTGCTGAACATGTTGGCATGCACCTTTAATCCCATCATTCAGGAGTCATAGGTAGGGGATCTCTGAGAGTTGAGGCCAGCTAACTCTACATAGTGAGCTCTGTGCCAGCCAGGGCTATACAGTGAGATCTGTCTCAGAAACAAGCAAACACCCAAACCTAGAATGTCATACTTCAGAACTTTAAAACAAGGTGTGATATTCTTCCCACCTGCTGTTGACTGTACTTTCTGCTTTGTTGATTCACTTGTGTCTTCCACAGTTGTGAGCTCAAAGCAAAAGACAGACTAAGCTTGTGTTTTCATGGAGCCTTAACAGCTAGGTGAACATACAAGTCTCTTATTTGCTACCTCCCTGACACTCTTTGTAAACATTGACCAGCTTTTTATTCTGAAAAAAAAAAAATCAACCAGGAAAAGGAGTAATGCAAAATGCTG